AAAAAAAATTTATAATTAATATAATATTAATGTTTTAGATGTCTATTAAAGAAAAACATATTATGTATTTTAATAAATTTAATGAATAAAATTAATTTCAAACTAATAAATTTTGAAAATAAAGTCTTAAAAATTAATTCAATAAATATAAAATAATTTCAATCAATTTTAAAAATAAAATTAATTAAAATAAAAATAATTTATAATTAATAAAATAAATTAAATAACATTTATTAAGTTAACCAATTAACCCGACAAATTAAATCTACCCAATTGATTGAACCAAACTTGACGATTAAAATGGGTTAATCGCCGAACCAAGTTTTAAAACATTAATTAATACAACTATACTTTTTATAAGAGAAAAAAAAAGAAGTTAAATAATAAATAAAATTTCAATTATTATTTTTTTTTTAAATATATTTATAAGGGGCAGATTTTAAATCCAATCCGAAAAAAGAGAAATGCACCTAAGTGGCTATTGCCACTAAGCCTCAAGGTCCAGATGCATAAAATTTCAATTATTACATCTCACGCACAATGAAATTTTGATTAAATACTAAGCTCTTCTAATTACCTCTTTTTCCTTCATTTTCTTTCACTTTCAAGTTTTCCATTTTGCCCTCGTCTCAATATCATGTCGGTTGTCACCAGTGACGACTCACGAGGATACAATCGTCCTTACATAAAAATACTGAGGACTAATTAGGAAATTAACTGATAAACCCAGAATAACTTGTTCTTGTTCCCGAGAAGTCTAGACAGATTCCAGAAAAGCACCGCCATAATACGATTGCAGAACCTCCAAATCCATTGTTGCCGTTTTCTGGATCTGAAATCTAAAGCTACGGAGAGAAGAAAAAGCAATGGAGGAGTTGAGATCAGCTCTCGAGGACCACATGAATCAGATGGCTGATCTCGTTCAGAACCTCTCCTCGGAGCTCCGCTCGGGGCTCCGCTCGGGGCTCCGACCCGCTTACGAGAATTTCATGGGATTCTTCCATGCCATCGATTGGAAGGTACGCATTCCGCACTCATTCACTCGACTCACTGTTTTCCGTTTGGCTGTCTAGAAAATTCAGGAGAAGCTTTTTTGGTTGGCTGTCGAGAAAATTCAGGAGAAGGTTTTGGTACAAAGAAATTTGAATTTCTAAATCTGAGATTTATATATTTTTTTTGTTCGTGTTTTTTTTCGTCTTCTGTGTTTTCTCAGTATTGGACTATGATTCTGTCCATTAGCTCCGTTACTATGATTCTGTGTTTTGGTTATTTTTCTTTTCATGCTCCACATGAATCAAAATAAATAATGTTGTTGAATGAGGAAGTGAATCTATGAGATCTGTTTGATTTTAGAGTAGCACTGCATGTTTGATGCTAGGTCTCCAGTTCACTTAAAAACCATTTGATTATGCTAAAAACTACTTTAATTTGGCTAAATCAACCAACCATAATTGAGATTTGAGAAAACGAGTTTGTGCTGTGGTAAAGTTCAACATAGAACACATGTTAATGCTGTGGGGCTTGTACATGACTAACAACTTTGTTAAATGCATTTTGAGAATGGAATGTGGAAGGTTGTTTTGACATTTAAGCATAGAAACTAGTTCTTTGTGGAGGTTATGTTGGTTTTTCAAGTTTCAACTCAGAATTGCGAAGTTTTTTCCTCCAGCCTAATCTGACAATATCCTTCCGATAATGCTTTATCTGGCAATGATATATCGGTTACATGAGCAATTTCTTTATTGAGATGGGTTGCAATGGCTGTGAGTAAATATGTGAGACATTGATTACAAGTGAGACCTCACGTATTTTTGTGAGTAATGGAAACTTAAATCTAGAAGCTTTTTCCATTTTAGATTCTTAAGGGAAGAATCACACTAAGTCTTAACCTATCTTTTAAATCTGAAGTATCTCCATAGTTTTATGTTTTTCTACAATCTCTCTCTCTTGACATTCTTTAGCTTAACTTTAGCTCTAATGCACTGTTTAAGTCTTAGCCTATCTTTAAATGAAGTATCTTCATTATTGTATGTCTTTCTACAATGCTAAGTACTTCAGGCTTTAGCTCTAATCCATTGTTTAATGAGATTGTTTCCACTTGTTACCATTTGGCAGGAACCATGGTTAATGGGCTTATTGGCATTCCATTTTGTTTTGCTGATCGTAACCATCCTCTCAAGGAAGAATACCAACTTCCAGATGTGTTTGTTCCTTTTGGCATGTAAGTCTGTCATTTGCATGATATCTTCAGAGATATATCTGAGTATTGAGATCTGTCTCCATGATTTTCAACATTTTGATTGTTAATTTTGTAAGTTAGTATGTTTATTCTATGAGGCTCTGCATATAAAGATATCATGATATATTGTTTAATGTTATGACTTTTAGTTATTTATGAAAAACAGATAGGATGCAACCAGATACTCTAGTATAGTCATGAATATATTATTTAATGTTATGGTAATATTAATTATTTATAAGAAATGAATAAGATACAATCAGATATTCTAGTATGGTCATGGTCAGCCAAGAAGATTTTTGGCAATGCAATGATAATAACTTATTGCTCCACCATAATACAAAAAGAAAATTCTGCAGTTGCAATAATGTACAGTGTGAATGGTGAATAGAATACAAAACAAATTGGGAACTTTAGATTCCAAATCACCTTTCCAGTTATGTTGTCTACCAGAAAATTTTTATGCCCCTCATGCTTGTCAGGCTTCTACTTTACAACAATTTGTTGGTTTCAAGTTTGATTAATCAATCATACTTCATAACTTAAAATAACCACCATCAACCTTATAGTGAGCCCTTTTTAGTCTCTTAAAACTATCCTATGGACTAAACAGGACCAAAATGCATGCTACAGATCTGTCTCTTGTCTTCTTCTGTGACATCAGTTAGTATGTAACAACTAGCAAGTCTAGCATCAATGCAGGGTGATTTTTTATCTTTTTTGGATAGAAATGCAGGGTGAATTTTGGATCTTCTTTCAAAATCTACCTTACATGTTTGAGGATATGTTGTAGTGGCTGGTGTATATCTTGCTGAGAGGCTTAATAAAATCCTGGCTGACAATTGGAAGAGCTTTGCTACTCAGAATTATTTTGATCCAAGTGGAGTTTTTCTGTCAGTCCTCTGGTCCGGGCCTCTTCTTGTTATTGCAATACTCATCTTGGTTAGTTTTCACGATCACTTCATTCTGTGCTCTATTCTCTCTTTTCCTTTCCTGACACCAAACTCATTTCCATTCTGCAGGTCAATACTCTCTTTAACTTATGCTACATGATTGTTAAATGGAAAAGGGCTGAGCTCAGACACCGTGCAAGGCTTTCTCGTAACAAGGAGGACTGACACTCTCTTCCTGTTTATGAACCTGCCATTATGGTATTCTTATAGTGAATTTCATATTCAGAGCTCTGTAATACCACAACAGAAGTAAGATCCAGGTTAGGATTTCCCCCTTTTTGTTCTTCTTAATGGTTGGTCATCCACCATTTCCTCAAGCCTTGTGAACCATTCAAGTTCTGAGAAGGAGCAACATATATTGAAATTTGCTCCCCTTTTTTCCCTCAACTTTCTTTACCCATAATACCTTGTGTCCGGGAAATCTCATAAATCTGGCTCGTTTGTCTGTATAAAACTTATTTCTAATTTCATTTTTTGTATAACATTTGAGGAACAGATTTGAATTTAAAGTTTTCCTCTTCTCCATCTTTTTCTTCTTTTTTTTTTTTTTTTTTTTGAACACGGGAAATTATGAGGGAAGGAGAAATTTTCAAGTAGTTAGTGAAAGTGGAATTCTTAATTAACTAAATCTAAATTCTAAAGCTTAGAGATGAACTATTAGGCTCAAAAGACCGGTTCACTCTTCTCCATCTTTTCTGCAATATGGATAACCTATTTTAATGTTGAACTAAGCGCATCTCCAAACTACCATCATATTTCTTCAAGAAACAAGAATAAGTCCGTATCCTGTTTCGGGTTTCCTCCTTTAAAGGTCAATTCCTTTGATGCCTGGGATAGATAAGAAGTGAGTGATTTTCGATATATTACTCAAATGAATATTGGTTATAGAGAAAGTTTAAGAGGAAATACAGAGGAATAGATAAAAAAGAAATAATTAATTTCATAGATAAATTACAAATGACAAAAAATAACTTCTAAATACCATTTGTACTCTAGTCTTAACCCTTCTCAAAAATGGCGACACTAAATTAAACAAAATAACAATAAAAATAATAATGAGAAATGATTTTGAGATAATTTTTTTTATCAACTTTTGATACAATTTGACTTGTCATTTAAATTATTGATTTTTTTTAATTCATGTAAGACCTATAATATTAAATGTATTTACTTATTTATTAAAAAAATTCTGCTGTATCTCGGGGATACTGTTGATGTGATATCCCCGCCCAATCATAGCGTGCCGCATCATCATTTTTACTGTTGAGAGAGCTGGCATGGCTAATGAGGTGGAGAATTTTTTGATGATGTGGCATGTTGTGATTGGTAAGGGATATCATGTCAACGATATCTTCAGGCTACAACAGACTTTCTCCATTTAATAATATGTGAAAGTTATCCATATAACACCACCCAACAATAATATATAAAATATAAAATTAATCCTATGTGGCTCCTACATGTCTTCCAACTCATCAAGTGCTTGCCACCTGTCATGTATGTTACCATATATCACTCTACGCATCATTTGGACAAGGGAAATGATTTTTCATAATTTTTTTATCCCACCTTTTTGTATAGAATAATGATACACGAGATGAAGCAAGGAGATGAAATAATGAGACAAATTTGAATTAGTATGCCATCTCAGCAAAATATTAAAAATTGGATCCCACATCATCGTATGAGATTTGAAATGGAGCGAGATTTGTGACGAATCCAAGAGAAATGAAGTAATGTGAAAAATATGAGATTTGAAAAAGGAAAACGGAAGATGCTCGGAATAAGGACGTGGGACTCAATTTTTAATATTTTGTTAAGGTGACATGTCAACTCAGATTCGTCTCATTATTTCGTCTCATTATTTGATCTCATTGCTTTGTCTCATATATCATTATTCTTTTATATAATTTAACATATTAATAAAATGATTAGTTCTTTTAATTTATGTGGGATCTATAATATTAAATGCATCAACTTACTTAATGACATGTAAAAATTGTATTAAAAAATGATATAAAAAGATTGTAGCACTACTCTTTTGACCATGGTGGACAAGTAGCCGTTATAAACATGAGAATTTTAACGGCCACCTTTTCAAATATTCAAAATCAAAATCCCTCCAAAACTTAACAAGTATAAATCAGAAAATACGAATGAAAGCCCCTTTATGTATAGTTTTATCATTCTTTCTTCATTTCTCCGTTCCTCCCTATGCACTGCCCTGCGATGGCGGAAACCAAAGAGAGAAAAATCCCAGTTTTTACGGTGCTAAAGAACGGCGCAATTCTTAAGAACATCTTCATCGTCAACAAACCACCGGCTGACCCATCACAGACGTCCTCTTCCGAACCCAATGCCTTATCCACCGCTGAAAATCCTGAAGAAGAAAAGCAAGAACTGGAAGATATCTTGTTCGTTGGGAGACACCCCGACTGCAACATCATGTTGACTCATCCCAGCATCAGTAGATTCCACCTTCAGATCAACTCGAGACCCTCTTCACAGAAGCTCTCGGTGGTCGATTTATCATCTGGTAATCGCTCTTTCTCTAATTAACTCTTGAAAAATTTTGGGTTTCTGCATTTGAACTAGAATCGTTTCTTGGTATTTGGATTCTTTCCTCTTTCTTAATCGTTGTTATTTTGGTGTAGTGCACGGGACCTGGGTTTCAGAGAAGAAGATTGAGTCAGGTGTTCCTGTGGAAATGAAGGAGGGTGATACTATAAGAGTTGGTGGCTCAACTAGGGTTTATAGACTGCAGTGGATTCCCTTAAGCCGCGCCTATGAGACTGAAAACCTCTTCATTTCAGCGAAAGACTTGAATACAACAGAAGAGAAAGAGGAGGAGAATTCTCTTCAGGTGAGGGTTTATGATTTTACTTGCAAAGGCTAAATTGCCTAGAAGCTGTTTGTTTTATTGCCCTTCTCTTTTTCTTTTCTTTTCGTCTATTAATGTGTAACATTATGTTGTAAGAAATTCATGTTCAATTGAAACATAGATAGACTTACCAAATGAAGTACATATGTAGGGTGTTAATTCATGTTCTTGGTTTCAATTTTCTGTATCAAATTTACTTTGGGATTATGTAGGATGAAAAGCACCAATTATTTGAGAATAGAAAGATTGATGAGAGCAGTTTATTGGTAGTGCAAGGGAAAGAAAACAAAACATACCAGGTTAGAATGTGTGGAAGGTAGATGGGCAGATTTTGATTTGCAAATCAAGTGGTAATAAAATATATGGTGAATGTGGTTATCTTGGCCATTTGCTTTTGTAATATGTTTCTGCAAATTATGTAGGAGAAGAATGCAATGTCAATTGAAGATGAATGTGTAAAGGATAGAGATCCATTGTTGGTGGAAGAAATCACGGAAGCTTGCAAGGTGAGATAATATATTAGTTTTAATGCATTGTGGAATGTACATTGGAATTATTCCTAATTTTCTTCTCTGATCCTTCTGGATTTTATGAAATCAGAGTTCTCTGTCAGATAAAAATGAAGAAATCCAATTGTTGGATGTGATTACGGAGGGCGTGGCATCCTTATTTTCTGATGAGAATTCAGGATTGGTAGTGAAGAGAGAGATTCCATCAGCACCTCCCGTGCCTGAAAACCTGAACTTCCCAATCTGTGATGAAGAAGATGCGGGCCTGTCAACAACATCAGATACCACAAATGACCAATTGGACACATTAAACCAGAGCTTCCAACATGATTCTGTTGTGGAATTGATTTCTGGAGGAGAGAATACCTGGCGATCCTTAGGAAGTTCAGAACAAAAGACCAACCTTCTCGTGAATTTTGATACTTCATCATCTGTTTTGGAAGAAAAAGTACATTCAGCTGCTGAAATACTTGAGGGAACTGAAAATCAAAAGCTAGAGAAAAAGGATCATCAAGAGATGGATATTCCAGGGCCTTCCCCTGAGCCTCTCATGACAGAATCAGTGAACTCATTTCTGCCAGAAGTAGTTACAGATACCAACTTCGAACAAGTAAATAAGGAGAACCAGGCTTCGAAGGTTCTTCTCACTCTGCAACCTCCACTTGAAAGAGGAAAGACAGCAAATGCTGAAGCAGATCAAGTGGTAACTTTGCTGGTGGATACTGATCAACACGGTGACAATTCTGTGACAGAAATAATTGAGAATACTGAAAGAGAGTGCATGTCAGAAAAAGAATGTGAGTGTGAAAGTGAGAGTTTCTATTCTGTTCCTCTGCCAACAGAATCTGTGAATTCATCATTGCCTGGTGAAGTTTGCTGTGAGTATGCAGATAATAAGAAGAGCCAGACTCCAGAATCTCTGCTTGCTCCAGTACTGCTGTCTGAACATGAGAAGTTGGACAGCAGCTCACCCAGATCAGAGAGAAGATCTAACTTGAACAATCTATGGTCTAGAAGAGGTAAACCCACTTCTGCTCTTCAGATTCGAACGTGTGGGAGTACAGTTAAGGCTGTAGCAGCTGTTAATGATGCTGGAAAAAAATTGATTCCACGATCTCTTCTCCTTGGTTCAGAAGATGTGGAAGAAGAAATCTTTACCCCGGACAAGGAGAATTTCACCCCAAATACTCTCTTATGGAAATCCTTGAAAAGAAATGGTAAGCTAGAAGAAAATAAAGATTATTCAAATACTTGTGCATCATCTCCAAATATTACTTCTAGTCCCGTTGTCAAGCCAGATGAAGACTTGATTGCCTCTTCTGACAAAGAGAACCAGACACCAAAAGTTCTTAAAGAGCAAAAATTGACCAGAAGTTCATCTAAAAATCTTGTGAATTTGGAAAAAGATAGAGTGGTAACAAAGAGAAAAATTGACAGAGCTCCATTACTATCTCTGCTTGTGAACTCAGCTGGCAAGAACATATCAGAAGCTTCAGTCCCCATTACCACTATAGGAAGCAACATATCTGTTGGTTCTAAAACAATAGAGAAGAGGATTACTCGTAGTGCCTCAGTAAGTTTTGGGAAAGTGCTATACTTGTTTCTCAACTAATTATTATGGTTTTTAGATTCCTTTCCTGGAATATTTGCAGTAACCGCAGTTTAATTGTAGAATAACTCTGTTGGAAGGAGAAGAGACACTTGGACCATGGTAGTGGACGTCACTTCTCTAATGGACAAGGAGTCAAGGAAGGCATTGCAGCTTCTACAAGGTCTCAAGGGAACTCGTTTGATCATTCCAAGAATGGGTAAATGAAATTATGAATCTATATCTCTGTTCTTCTCCATTTCTTCATTGATTTAGAAGTCTTCTTTAGATTTGAATTAAATTGTTTCAACAACAATGGAGAAATTTTTGTTTAAATCAGTCATAAGGGAGCTAGATTCCTTAAATCGACGTGGTAGTCTCTTTAGAAGGAAAACAGAGGCTGCTTCAGTGTTGGAATGGATTGAAGATTGTATGGTGAAAACAAAATGGTGGATTCATGTCCAGAGCTCAGCGGAGGAAGGACAGCAAATTTTACCAACTCCACCAGCTTCTCCTCAGTTTCAATTCAATGAAAGTAGTGACTGTATTCTCTCTGAAACAACATCAGCCATTACAAGTTTAGCAGAAATTGCTTCACCTACGGCAGAGGACCATGTTCTTGACTCTGCACTCCGGTTTAGAACAATGGAGATTGATGGACAACTCATCCTGCTTTCTAACGAGGTGACCATGAAGATCAAAGCCATGGCAGAGGTTTGCTTAAAATTAAAACCATGAACATTTCTTTCTGCTTTTACACTTGCTCTCTCTTATATAATTCCAATTTTGGGTGCTCTTCTTTCTCTTTCAGGGCTTGCTCTGTGAGACAGCACAGGAATTCCGGGAGAGTCTGGTGAACCCCTTTTCTGATAGGTTCTTGTGGGCGGACAGTTCTCCAAGAGGACAGACTTGGTCCTATTTGGATGATGTAGTTCTGAGGGAGAGGTATTGTGGCGGCCCCTTGAAGAAGTCATCAAAGGGAGAAAGCGCAAAGGGCTTGAAACTCATACTCCTACATAATTCAAATTATGGACAGAGCAGCTCCATCCGCTGAAGAAATTTAGTCTGTATGACATTAGCTGGTGCATTCTAGTCTATAGATGAAATGATCTGAAATTCAGTTTTCCTCGGGTCTACTTTTGGCCTTTGGTGATGGTTAGAAACATGGACAACCCTTCTAGAACTAGATGTAAAATCATTTCAATAATAAATATTTTTGGAAAATAATTCACAGAAAATGTTTTCTTATCATGAAATCCATATTTTGATGAACTCTTATCATGAAATTTTAGTCTTTAATAGAAATAATTATAATTGGATTCACCTACTCGATAGATACCATGTGCTTATTTTAAGAAAACATAAGAAATTAATATAAAAAATTTGTTAACTGAGTCCAATTAAAAAAAAAAAAAACATTTCTCCCTTCAAAATATGTAGAGAAAATATGTTTGAAAGTTGAAAATTGTGTTAAAAAAATAAATACTAAAATGGTTTCTTTAACTTGTGTTCTCATAGCACAGATTAAGAAAGCAACTAATATATTTTTTTTTTGTCATTAAGTTATATAAAAAGAATAAAACTTAACTTTAATTTTAATAACTAACTGATTAAATTAAAAATATGACTTGTTAATTTGACCCTTAACTTGTAAAAAACATATTATGATCAAATAGTATTAGACTCATGACCCATTCAAGTCAATCCAAAAAGATCATGGGCCAAACATGAGTTAACTTACAAATTCACAGGTTGATCCAATAGACTCCATTTGTTTTTAAATTTTAAAAAATATATTTTTATAAGATAATTTTTTAAGGCAAAATAACTAACAAATATAATTTAAAAGAAATAGACTATGATAGTGGTTATTACAATTTATAAATCTATTCAAATGAAGTTGATTATATTCATTTAAAATTTATAAATCAATTATTGTATACTATATATAATTATCTTTAGAGAAAACCAAAAAATTAAATTTATCATTGAAAATATATTCCACAAAAAAGAAGTCATTTTGCTTAAACTAATCAAATAGAAAGAAGCAAAATTATTAAAAAATAGCAAAATTATTAGAAAATAACCATATCAAAGTTACTATAATTTAATTTTAATAAATTAATATTAAAAACATAACTAATTATATATAAAAAAAATTTCAACCCATTGATTAACCCGTAACTTATTAAGGTAAAGTTAAAGTCAACACTTATTGAACCATAACAAGTATATGAACTAATTTGTAAAACTCATGACCATTGTAAACCTACCCCCCTGTTTGCCACCTCTAAATGGATTAATGGACAAAAGCAATTTTTATGGTTAAGGAACCAAAAAAAAATGCACAGAAAAGTTGAGGAATGAAAACTACACAAAACTCTAAAGTTGAGGACCTAAATTGGAATTTAACCCCAAAAAGAAAAATACCTTTGATTAGTTTTAGTGCAACAAGAAATGCACAAAAGTTTCTCGCAAGCAATTATTGCAGTTCAACTACTTAATAACATTGTTTGATTAAATTTATGTTTGTAAAACTCCATCCATTGCAGTTCTTTGTAAAATCCACGTGGTATATCTAAGCTAAAAAAACTAAATGATGAAGAAAGTATTTATTCAAGGAATTAACATAAAGTCACACATTAAGATGTAAATGATACGCAAACTGAAATACTTGAACCCTTAATAAAAAAGGACCAGGAATTTATGCAAGATTGTTGGAGTTGTCATCTGCTTCATTTTTCTGGCTATAATTATAAGATCCTGAGAGAAGGAATGCAAATGAACTCTCCGAATCATCAAATGGTGGTCGAGGGAACTCACCAAACCCACCAAAGTTGTCAAAGTTCAGCGGGGAGAAAATACCAGCAGGATCATCAGTGTTCCCTTTGACATCCATGATACTTTGAATGCCACTGTCACTAGTAGCATTGGGGGGAAAGTTGAAATTCATACTTCCGGCCTTATTTGTCCCTTGATTGCCTTCTTTCTGATCAGATGGCCCAACTAGTGCTTTACTTTCTTCTACAGAGATGGCAGGAGTGTGACCTTGGAAAAGAGTAATATGTCCAAACAACTTATCTTTCCTAGAGAATGTTGTGCCACAGGAACAAAGCCATTTATCCTTGCCACAGTGCTTCTCATGAGTTTTGAGATCAGCAATCACTGAGAACCTTTTGGTGTTGCATCTGCTGCAAGTGTAGCTCTTGTCACAGTGGGTTCTCTTGTAATGGTTTTTGACACATAAAATGGTCTTCAAAGGCTGAAACTTCTTATGGTCCTTGTTTCGCTTGCAACCAGAATAAGGGCAGGAATACCTCTTAATAAGTGTTGGTTCAGAGCTAGGTTCTTTGTGGGGCTTTGCCAGTGCTGCTGGTGTTTTGTACTCATCACCATGACCTCTCATGTGCATCCGTAAATTTGCGTCTCTTTTGAATCCCTTTCCACATATTGTACAGAAGTGGGTGTGTGGTGCAAGTATTTCTTCCTTTTCTGGCTGTAAGATCTCATAGGTACCTGGTGGTAGGTTCTCCCCTTCATCAGCATCTTCCTCCTCTTTCAAATCATGTTCTTCAATGTTAAGGTTCTGTTCGGTCACACAGTTGGCACTAATATCACTCTGGTTTGGCTGATCTGGGACTTTGCTTCCATTGGTATTTTGCAGCTGAACCCCACCATTCAGGCCTGGTAAAGGAAATACGGCTCCTCCTAGCTGCCCAAACTGTCCAACAGATGGAGGAGCTGCAGGGAGAGTACTCTTAACAGATGGAAGAAGACTACCTGCAGTGGAGATCAATTGAACAATAATTGAAGTTAAGTCAGCATTAAGAAGCTGCTGCTGCTGAGTTACAAACTCATCTGGTCGCCCCAAAACTTGCATCCTCCGGCCAACAATCAAATGCACCAACTCTTGAAGTTGATGGATCTTTTGCTCCAGGAAAGAGAGATTATTTAGCATTGCACTTGGATCCCAATCTTGGATTTTATAGGTTGACCGCATCTCATTACCCAGACCATCTTGACTGATCTTAACTTGATTGAATCCCTGGAAAGGTGGTTCAATCCTTGTGCTGTAATCTATGAGGGATGGATCTTCCCACTTTTGTGGATGCTGGGTATTAAAATGGCTAAAAGCCGTTTGATTGGGTATGCTGTTTCGTAGTTCATTACCAGAAAGCCTATTGTTGGGATCCATTTTCAAGGCCTCAAATATCAAGATCAAATACCAGTCAAAGCTGGAAAACAGCAAAGGATCAGAAAACAATCATCAATATTCAACAAACTTTCACTACAAAAATCCAAGATAGCACGCAGATGGAAA